CTCCTAAATCACTCGTATGCACAACTTAAGAACAAATCTGTGCGTACGAACGGTTCTTGCATGAGGCCCATTGTCCTCTAATAATAGTCATATTCATTATCATTGGCTAAATGCCACAAATAATGTTGTTGTTGTTTTCCCCTCCAAAATTGCCCAACTCTGCTGTGTACGTTCTGAAATGTGCTGCTTGGATTAAATGAGCTAAATTGCTGTTTGATTGGCTGAGAGATTAATAATATAATTTATCAGTTTATTTTCGGACTACTCTGGTCTGCAAACGTCAGCTCCATCCAGCAGTGCTGAGATGAGCCTGACTTCTGTTTCACCGGTGCAGAGTGTCTCTAACGCCGAGCGTCTCATGTCCAGGTCCTTTCCACTACAGTACAGGCAATGTGTCGGCCCGCTACGAGACAAACATTACTCCAGCTGGTTGGACCTTCTCCATCTGGGGTGTTATTTACACCTGGCTCACTCTGATGGTCATTTACATCACTTCATACGTTTTCAGAGGGTAAGCTCTCTTAGTAGTCTCATTCAATATTTACTGGAGCAACATGCAGAATAAAACTGTTTTTTTTGTTTGTTTGTTTCTGTGTATAGATCCTGGGCTCAGTCCCTGCTACCCTACAGTTTCTACTTTGCCTGGCTGTGCAGCATGCTGCTGAACATGACGTGGCTGGTACTCTGGGATATGGAGTATGTGTCCTACTTTTATTTGGTACTTCGGTGATGCTCAGCCTGAACTGTAACTGATGTGTAATGTACAGGTTTAAACATGTTGTCTTTTGGGTTTCCTACTTTTAAGCAAAGATTTTTAAGAATTTTATTTGTATGTGGAGAAAAAATATCAGTCGATCATTCAGACCTTGATGTGAATGTGATGGAAACAGGAAGTGTATGTATTAGAGAGACTGATTTGTGATTGTGAAGACGGCTGGGTGAGAGCATCCCAATACCTTCAGCTCATGTAGGATGTTCTCAATCTGCAGTGGTTGAGCTCAGGACGAGAAGTTTTTCCAAAGCAATGTWCCCATAGTTTAAATCCCTTTTCACCTAATGCTAAAAATAATACAAGATTTTTCTTAGGTCATATGTAGAGCAGAGTATTTACCCCCTCTAAAACTGTAATAAGAGTCAGATTATTTTGAAACTTTTCCATCCACCAGTAGGTTACTCCCCAATAAATATACAATAAGTATCAGCACTTGACTATTATCAATAATATTATAAGGCTCCCGATGTTTATGGTCCTTTTCTCTCTCCTTTTTTTTTGTTTGTTTTGCAGGTTGATGCTGGCAGCTCTGGTTGTGTTGATCCTGATAGCACTTTCCAACTACACTGCTTTGTTCTTCTGCTGCTACGCCACAGATTATTATGGACTGTGGCTGCAGACGTATCATAGCAAAGACCTGGCCTGTCTCAGAGTACTGGTGAGTGTAACTCATAAAGATTATCTGTGTTTTTTTTAATGAATATTAATGTTTCGCCCGTCTGTGTGTTCAGGTCCAGAATGGTTTGGCTGTCTACACCACGTGGACTTCGATCGCCTCTCTGATCAATTTCGCTTTGGTTCTCCACCTGTGGGGTGTCGACAAGAGCACAGCAGCAACTGCCTCTCTGTGCATCCTTTTTGCCGAAGTGGTGGGATGGTAAGATATCACATTTCAAAAGTAGTGGAGCAACATATTAAATGAACACAAGCAGATCAATACAAACGTTTTGTGATTCTTAGAAGTTTCTGTTTGATTTTTGGTCTTTTTTATACTGTTTTAGAAATATATATAGATAGATTAGTTTTTATGAGGTAAAAACCCTCAGTGTTCTTCTGTGCATCTTACATCACTGATCATCTGCTCCCTCCTCTGTCTGCAGGTTCATTATGGAGAACTGGGTTCTGGACCGATGGGTGCGGAACATCTTGATGGTGTACCCAGTGGTGATCGTGGCTCTGGTTGGAAAYRTCTACAAACATTTCAACCCATCTGATCCCACTCCAAATTCCATCTTTATGGGTGAGTATAATATCATTTATATATCTAAACTACAKTAAATTTGGAAAATCAGATATCGTCCTTCATGAACACACACACAACATTTGTAGGATTAGTAAAATATCCTTTTAAACTTTTTGTTTGTCTGCCTGACATGACATCTAAACGTGACTGTTGCTGGCAAAATGAATCAGAATGAACACATGATGCAGTGCAAAAATAAAAAATAAAAATACATAATTTTGCCATAATTGAGATCTATATAAAATAAGTACAAAGGACAGCATCTAGTGATCTCAGTAACTAGAAYATCATACAAACTTCCTAATCTAACTTTAAATCAAAGTCAGGTTTATCTTCAGAAATAATCCTGTCTTATGACTCTTAGATTTTCCTTTGTAACTAATCATTTGTTTCTGCAGGCTGCTATAACTCCCAGACATTGTTTGTCTAATGTTCAGTGTCATTGTGAGGACATCCCCTTTGTAAATATAAGACTGAAATTCACAATGACATCATTCTAGACAAGTAAAAGTCGAGTTTTTAAACCAGCATTCTTATAAACAAAATTAGCTTATTGACAGACCAGGCGATAAATCACCAAATTTCAACAAACTACGTACAATTTTGAAGTTTATTAGATGGTGAATCTGAAAATGAAAACTCGATTTTGAAAAATTACTCATTGATACTCATTTTGTCAGCACTGGTTATTTGTGCCCAGCRAGAACTAAACAGGGCTTATAACAAGTATTCACTCTCACACCCTTAGATGTTTTAGTCTTTTATTGCAGTCAATCATCATTCCTTTTTATTTATTTTTTTTTTTTTGCGTGCTTCTGCTTTCCGGGTCATAGTGGATCTATCTCTAGCAGTCGCTGAGTGAGGCGAGTTACACAGAGGACCACTTTCAGGATCAGAATTAGAACTTGGTGATGCAAGAATTGAAGAAGACAAGCAGCTGAATGATTGTGAGACCTCAGTTTTCTCAAAATCCTTATTAGGTTAGAAGAACATGAAGTAACAAGGACAGCTGTGGCAGAGTGGTTTGGGGAATTTTAAAAAAGCACCTGAACAAAGCAACCTTTGCCAGAAGCTGTCCAGACTATTTTACTTACAAAAAGAAGGCAGGTGGAGAGGTCCTCACCGGAGAGAACGAGACTGTGGTGAAGTTAGTTTTAGGTTGAATGTCCTGATGCATCTAAGTAATCCAGGTAGAAAAAAATCAAAAAGAAAAAATAAGTAGGTCCTCTGGATGGGTTCTTATTTAGTGAAACGTTTAGTCTCTCCTCCAAGAGACTTCTTCAGTCTGATGAGTTTCAGGTGAACTCAGCCTTATAAGCATTATCTCCACATGGTGGACAAACAGGTTAGTCACATGCAAAAGAGGGCCATCACCTAACAATAGGCTTGATTAGCTCTATTTAGTCGCATGCAAAAGAGGGCCATCACCTAACAATAGGCTTGATTGTTCATAGAGGGTCATGTGCCAAAGATCCTGTTCACTGGCAAAAACAGAGTAATATAGTATATGCTGCTAAGTGTCAGGAGGACTGTGATCAGTCATATATCGGGGAAACAAAACAGCCACTGTTCAAAAGAATGAGCCAGCACAGACGAGCTACATCATCAGGTCAGGACTCTGTAGTTTTCACTCATTTACAGGCCAGCGGTCACTCTTTCAGAGATGAGGATGTTCTCATCCTTGATAGAGAGGAACGTTGGTTTGAGAGAGGAGTAAAATAAGCCATTTTTGTGAAGAAAAACCGTCCACCATTAAACAGAGGTGGAGGCCTTTGTGTCCAGTTATCCTCCTCCTACAATGCTGTTATTGCAAGCATGACTCAGCCCCCTGTGAGCAAAAGGTGTGAATCAGGGCCCCAACGATACCAACACAAAGAGGGAAAAGACAAAAACAAGGGGACGTTGAACCCCGCTTGCATTCACTACATTCACATGACACGACACCTAAGAACWACAGCACTCAAACCAATAAGTCAGGTGATGGGGCACATGACCCTCTATGAACAATAGAGCTAATCAAGCCTATTGTTAGGTGATGACCCTCTTTTGCATATGACTGACCTGTTTGTCCATGTGGAGGCAATGCTCTTAAGGCTGAGTTTTCCTGAAACTCATCAGACTGAAGAAGTCTCTTGGAGGAGAGACGAAACGTTTCACTAAAGAAGAACCCATCCAGAGGACCTACTTATTTTTTTCTTTTTGATTTTAGGTTGAATATTAAATATTCGTGCTCTGATTCAGCTGTGTCTTCATGTTGTTTGCTCCAGAACAGGGAGTCATATTTCAGTCGGCTGCCCTCCATGTAAACCCTCCCTCCTGAACACAGCAGTAAAATTAATTTTAGGTTGGATTCAGCTGTGTCTTCTTCTCATTTGATTGGTTCGCTAATTTGTTGCTGGTCCATAAGTGAACTGCTGCATTTAGGAGGAGGGAGGGAGCACATGATGTAGAGCTGAGTCAAACAGCAGGAAAACACTGCTGTGTAAGTAAGAATGAGGGGCTTATGTCGGTCACGGTGGTCCTCATGATCATCTGAATCTGACAGTCTTCACTTGATCTGAGGGATCTAGCTGTAGGTTGAGGTTGGTTAAAGGCTTATTAAACCTACATCTTCTGGCATTTCTTTTTACCCCACAAAGTTTCCTGTTTCCATTTTCACTGATTAACAATGAGACCAAAACTTCATTCTTTGACCCCACACTGATCCAGCACAGCCTGTCGTGGCACAGGTAGGACAACCCCCCCCCCC